TTTGATAAATTGTCCTTTACCCTACAGTAACATGAGTTTAAAAGACACGATTACCTGACAGTTGTATTTACAATTTACAAGGTCACATCTTTTTAAATAAATGTGCTGATCTCCTCTCTCATATTTATTTTCATGAGCTCTCTTTTTTTTTACTTTACCACCCAGAAATTCCTACAGAAATCCTAACAACCTTAGTAATGGGATTTCATGTGTGTTAGAGCCTAACCTAGATAAAACTATGTGATTGCTTTCTTTACCAAGTTTAAAAGGTGTATAGTTTACATGACTTTTTAATTTGCATTTTATAAAGAATTAATTTACTGTAAAGAATGTCACTCGCCTACTGCTCTACCCCTGTCTCTTATACACATCTCCATGAAGCATGGTCTTTAATTATACTGCAGTGAATACCATGCTGTGATTTGTCTCCATGAAATTGTTCACACTCTTCTGCAAACAATGGTAAACAAAAAGGTGCTCGGCTGTAAACAAAGGTATAAATAATATGCTGCAATACCGAGTGTTTGAGCATATAGTTTCTAACGTGATTACTTATTGGGAATGTTGCCTTTAGTAAATATTTCAACCCACATAGACGTGTCACAAACTAATAAACAAATTTCTAATCTTATTTATAGTTAAAGCTCGTTTATAAAAAATTTCAAATTTGTTAAATTACTGTGGTGAGTAGATGCTGTATTTCTAATATTATCAATTAATTATATTTATAAATAAACTAGTAATCAATATCATGAGCATTAATGCTTATCTTGGGGGTCTGTTCTTTGTCTTATACCTCAATAAGCCTATGTTTTAATGCAGACTTGGAGATTGCTATTCATTCAGACAACAGGCTCTTCCATGCCCATATATAGACAACATGTTCTCTAGTGCCTAGCAAGTTATTTGGCAGCTGTAGGCCTATTCTACCGTAGGCCTAAGATAGAATAAGACTGGAATGTTGACATATATACATCTAAATTGGAATTACGCCACAGACATGCTACGGTTTTTGTTTTCTGGCAGTAGATTCCTTACAATTGACAGTTTCTTGTGATTCTAAAAAGAGCATTACTATACTATAAATTTCTTTACAGGCTGCCCGTGTAATAAATTTTAGTACACATTATTTTCCCGTAGTTTATGAAACAGAATGCATTACTAAATTATTACTAAGGACCGGAAATAGAATCCAAGGCGATATCATCAGCTTGTAGGCTTTACCATTAATAGTAAATGACAAGATAGTTAGGGATCTAGTTGTTGAAATGTCGCCACCATTATCAACATCCACCATAAAACTATGATAATTCAATTAATTCAGTTTTATGATTGTGAATACAATCTTAAAAAGAATATGTTGTAGTTAATTAATTCAATTAATTGGCAAATCCATGTGGACTATCCCATATGCCAAATGATTTTAAGAACATTTTAGTACATTATGATAAATTACAGATTTGGTTATGAAATTGCATACAATTTTTAATAAGTTTTCTCTTGCAATAATTTTGTTTTAACTTTTTTTGCACTAAATTAAATTAAGTAGTAGGCAGAGAAATGGAATGAAGATTTTTTTTGTAAGAATCCTTTCTAGAAAGCATTTTTTCCTAGTCCAGTAAAATCCATCCAATAATTCAAGAACAGGGGTTATACTACCAGGTTTGTTTATTATGATTGACATTTTGAAATGTATTAGTCTAATTATGTATTCAAAAGATATGTTGTTGCTAACCTAGATACATTAGAATTTTATGCTCGCAAATGAACACATTTTAGCGGGATTAGCACAATCTATTTGATAAATTGTCCTTTACCCTACAGTAACATGAGTTTAAAAGACACGATTACCTGACAGTTGTATTTACAATTTACAAGGTCACATCTTTTTAAATAAATGTGCTGATCTCCTCTCTCATATTTATTTTCATGAGCTCTCTTTTTTTTTACTTTACCACCCAGAAATTCCTACAGAAATCCTAACAACCTTAGTAATGGGATTTCATGTGTGTTAGAGCCTAACCTAGATAAAACTATGTGATTGCTTTCTTTACCAAGTTTAAAAGGTGTATAGTTTACATGACTTTTTAATTTGCATTTTATAAAGAATTAATTTACTGTAAAGAATGTCACTCGCCTACTGCTCTACCCCCTCAAAAATGTCAATGATGTTTGTATACCTTTTCTGATTTGTTCTGGTATATAAATATTTCATTGCTGGATACTTAGATATCAATTGATGAAGGATAACAAATTAATTAGTAATACATCAATTATCGGGGGTGTATTATGTTTCATTAATTACCATATTAAATTTATGAAATATGTGACCATTATTTTTTGCCATCATGAAAACAAAGAGGCTCAAAGATGAACAGAGATTTCTGACTAAAAAGTATGCAAACACCAAAATTAAAAAATAAAATAAAAGCCTTGTTAATCTTGAGTAAAAGTGCTTTAACCTGGAAGATGTTTCTCATGGGATATTTTATTAACTATCAAAGTAATGTATATTCAAATGACGTCTGATTATACCAGACCTTGTGTATCTTGTCAGTTACTTTTTTTCTGCCTTTCATTTGTTCCAGCTTATGGTATATTTGGCTCTGGGGAACTTACTCAATTCTGATTTTCAATTCTGATGATGATATTTACTATCAATATAAATTATAACTCTCGATGCTCATTTTTATAAAAATCTCAACTTCAACATTATGTAATTCGATCGCTATTTTCTATCCAAGTAGTCTATTTCATATGTATTTTTTTTAAATGGTGCAATTTTCCTGGCATCCTCTGTCTGTTACATGATTTTTTTTTTGTGGAAATTGTGTAATTTTCCTTGTTGGGTCTGGGGAAATATCCCCACCCTAACTCTTGTTTTTTGACAATCATATTCCAAAATTCTCTATCAAATTCAAGCCCATTACAGGCAGTGTTGGCGTATGATTTGTGAATGTAACTGTACGGTGTGAGCGTGAGCGAATAATCCAGACAGGCTGCAATTATGGACAACTAGCTTAAGCAGTAATTCCAGCATATTCTATAGAACAAGTTAGCTTTTGATAAGAGGATTGTGTTTATGTCTGATTTTATCAGCAATGTGGAGAGCTTATTATCCGACAAGTGGACCCATTATACCTAACACAAAGCATTTGCTTTTCAACAAAGAAGTGAAGTAAAAATAAGGATTTTAAATTAATTGTTCTGGTCATCTTTGTCTTACAAGTTTATGATTTGCTTCACATTCTTTATATGTATTACACTTGTAGTTGCTATTTTTAATGTACAGTAACATCGCCTAATTACATACTTGTATTGAGTTCAAATTTTCGTATGGTATTACATTGTTAAGGCTCCATGCTGTACAGGGCTAAGCCCTGCCATGAGTCAGATCGCATGGGAACTTTAAAACGCAAAATATGACTTTGATTTAACTGTTTTCTGCAAGAAAAATAATACTAGCCATGGCATGAGCTACCTAACAGATTAAACACTCCAAATGAAATAATTATAATTTGGTACATTTAATAAAAATTCAGAGAACACAATAGTAAAATTACTGTTTGCAAATAACAAAAAGTACATTATTTCAGTATGGGAAAAAATACAAGACTAAGGAATAACAAACTTTACGGATGCTACTGAATTGGTTAAAGGTGGAGAAGTTGAAAGAGGAAGCTTCATTTATTCATATGTGGGAACCAATTACAGTAAAACCGTGGGAAAGGGGAAGCAAAGAAGTAAATTTAGTCAAATATACCTATGTACCTTTGTATTAAACACTTAACTTCCCATTGAAACTATTGGCATGGATCGTTGAGCCTCCTTACTTACACAGAACCATGTTCATAAACAAGTGATGGACTGAAACGAACAAATATCAATCAATTGTAGATATTTTTTTTATCATCGAACAAATATTTGCATATATATTCTAGAACAACTGTGTTAGACTTGCATAAGGAAAGGTTTTTTGGTTTTTAAACAAGTTATTGTAATCGTGAAAGCTCCAATGAGAGCAGTATAATAGAGGCAGTAGAGTATATTGGCCTCAACAGCCGCCATACAAAAAATCATCAGAGCTTAAACAAGCTCAAGAAAAGATCTATTATAAATCAGCCAGAGCCCGCCCTCATCGGAGCTCAAAAAAAGATCTGCTGTATTAATCAATCGGCCGAGTGTATCTAGAGGTCCTCATCGGAGCTAAAAATTTGTGATGTTCTAAAGTGAGAGCGAGTGTGAGAGATAAAGGAGAAGATTTAAAGTGTTTAAAAAAAAGTTGGTTGTAGTAGTAGGCCTATGGTCATGCTGTTTCCTTAGGGCAATGTTTTTTAATTTCATTATAATGTTATAGTCTATTATCTAGAATACATCAACTCATATAAATATATTTTTTTCAGGAAATTAAACGTAGATAATATTATATAAATTTTATATAATACTTCTTGATCCTCTTTGGAAACAGATATGAAGAATACTATATATTTATATGGCCGAATAACAATATGAATTCTCTTTTTATTATTCTTTATTCAAGCTGCCTGCTGCCTTTTTTTTTTCAAACCAAATGGGAAATCCAGCCAAAATCCAAGCATTCTTAAAGCAACGTTAATTTTTTTTTTTTTGGTGACAACTTGGCCAATCCATAATTTTTGACTGTTGAGTAGCTGTCATATGAAAGGCAGAAATTTTGGGATGGGAAGGGGTTAAAGGCATCATCATTAATTTTTTATTTTATTTTTTAAAAATTAATTTTAATTTGTTTTTAAAGTTTATGGATTTTACCAGTTTAATTTGTTTTTGCCTTATAGGTAGAAGATGCTATGCTAATGATCGACAAAACAACTAACAGACATAGAGGTAAAGATTTCTATTTTTTTAAATGTATAATAGGAAGGTGTTGACATCATTGTTCCATGATTTTTCAATTTTGTTATGCTGGCCGTCATGCTCCACATATTAAATTCTTATTTGCATTTCATCTGTTGTTTCCCTTGAATATGGTATGAAAACTAAATGAATAGTACTGGTATGAAAACTAAAATGAATATGACGCTTTTAAAACTATCTGCATGCCTAGACTCATTGTGAGAATCTGTGACGAGACTTCTCTAATAATAGTGAATGTGTGACCTCTGAACTTAACACAAATATTGCTAAAAAAAAGAAATCACTAGTCATAATGTAATCACAAAGAGATACCAGCTTAATTTATTATTACTGTTATTAAATTATTATATTTATGTATAATTTTTTTTTTTTATTATCTCATTTGAATATGAATTTTAGTTGCAATAATAACACAATTTACCGATTAAAGGCCATTGTTGGAATGTAGTTATTTAGTTTGGTATATATTTAGATAAATACAATATGATCTACATTATATATTTAAGGTATACAGAACTAAACTGAGAATTATTGTCATTCAACAAGTTCTCGGGCCTCTAAATTTCTAAAATTCACCCAAATTTGAAAAAATATTAAAAGTCCTTTTTTGTAATCAGCAACTTCTGTGTTTGCCTCAGCTTTATGAAACATGGTCCTTCCAGGTATTGTTGATACTACTCTATAATGAAACATATTACTGTATAACTGTGCATAGTCCCTTCTTCCGTCTTCCATCTTCCCTTCACCCCAAAAAAAAAATGTCATTTCATGATAAAAATTAATGTAGTAACATTGCTTGTTATTGTTTATACTACTAAGCTCTGAACCAGGAAGTAATAATTGGGAAGATAGAAAAAACAAATGCCATTTAACCTCCACAAAAATGTAAACAGTCTGGTTTTCAATTCAAATCAATTTTACACCGTTTTATTGTTTAGTGTGTAGGTTACTCAACCAATTTATCCAATTATATGGAGTCAGTTTTGTATGGTATCAAAAACCATCTGATACGTGAACAATTGCGTGCACTGTTGGGCATAGACCAGTATTCAAGCTGTCATTAAAGAACACACCATTATAGTCAGTAACATATTATATCGTGCGTAACATTTGAGATGACACAAATGCCACGTTGCATGCAAACTCCAGGCTTCCCAGAGATATATTAACATTTTCTACTAGATATATTACCTTCCCGGAGAAAATTTCGAAAAAATATCTGACCTGTGATGTAAAAGGTAAACAGATACACTCATTGAATTACATCATCTTGCTTCATGTGATCAATCAGCAAAGTTCTGTAGTTACCAAACAACCTAATTTTGTTTTGTATATGCAACTTTATGTAGGGGGTGTTCTAATTAGGAATAATTGACAAACATATTTTATATGATATTTTAAGATAATTTATGTAAAGGATGGGAATTAGGTTCTACCCATTCTCAAGGTGTTATTTAATGGGTCATGGAAAAAGCATCCTAATTGCACCCTGGGTAATGCAAGTTCTACCACCACAACCACAAGATATACAAGGAATACTTGTACCACAATTGTTGTCATGCCTACACTAGACCAGAGCAGGTTCTTCATAGGTCCTGCCTTTATGGTCATATCTGCAAGTCGAGTTATTAAACATTCTGTGATAACAATTAATATCCGGGAGGGGGGAAGGGGGGAAAATAATGCAGATCTGGTTGTCTATACAGTGTTGTCTATACAGTGGTTAATGTAGCGGTTTGTATTATGTTTCCCATATGTGTTCTTCAGGTTACAGTTATAGTAATTGAATCTTAGTCCATAAGCTTAAAATAGATTTGGATTGAGTGCAACAACAATCCATATCCCACATCCTCCCAACCTAAATACATCACATTATGGGGTCTTAGGTTGTGAAAATTAGTCTGGGGAAATACACAATGAATTATGCATTTTATTTTTATTTTTAAAAATTTCATATCCATAGAATAACAAAATAAACATAATGATCATAAGTACTAACAAGAACAAGTGGATAAACACAATATGCTGCATCTACAGTACATGTTGCATTTTCCAAAATTTACTTAATAACATAAGTAGTAGCAATAAGTGGAAATTCCCACTATAAACAGAAGAAAATGTGACTCCCGAAACATTCAACATAAGATACAACAATTACACCTTAACAATATCATCTACTTAAACTAGTTAACAACTTAATATAAAGTAATAAGTAATATTAATTAAATTTTTTATACTGCACACATACCCACCCACACACATATATGCATACACACACACATATATCTGTCTCTTATACACATCTATACCTATGTACCTTTGTATTAAACACTTAACTTCCCATTGAAACTATTGGCATGGATCGTTGAGCCTCCTTACTTACACAGAACCATGTTCATAAACAAGTGATGGACTGAAACGAACAAATATCAATCAATTGTAGATATTTTTTTTATCATCGAACAAATATTTGCATATATATTCTAGAACAACTGTGTTAGACTTGCATAAGGAAAGGTTTTTTGGTTTTTAAACAAGTTATTGTAATCGTGAAAGCTCCAATGAGAGCAGTATAATAGAGGCAGTAGAGTATATTGGCCTCAACAGCCGCCATACAAAAAATCATCAGAGCTTAAACAAGCTCAAGAAAAGATCTATTATAAATCAGCCAGAGCCCGCCCTCATCGGAGCTCAAAAAAAGATCTGCTGTATTAATCAATCGGCCGAGTGTATCTAGAGGTCCTCATCGGAGCTAAAAATTTGTGATGTTCTAAAGTGAGAGCGAGTGTGAGAGATAAAGGAGAAGATTTAAAGTGTTTAAAAAAAAGTTGGTTGTAGTAGTAGGCCTATGGTCATGCTGTTTCCTTAGGGCAATGTTTTTTAATTTCATTATAATGTTATAGTCTATTATCTAGAATACATCAACTCATATAAATATATTTTTTTTCAGGAAATTAAACGTAGATAATATTGTATAAATTACACAGGTATATATTCCATACATTTACTATTAGAAAAACATTTTTTTATGACCTCTAAACTTCGACCTTTAATATATAGATGAGGGGGTATGGTGTAGTTGTTGTAACATCTGCCATTTGCAGCATATTTGAGTGCCATTAAATATTAGGTGATTAAGTCGCCTGAATAGCTTTGTCCAGGAAACAATTAGCTATCTTCTTTTGAAAGTAAATCTGTGTGTGATGTTTATTGTGTAGTTATGTATCAAGGAAGCTGTATTTTCTTTAGTTGTTTAATCTTTATTTTACTTTCGTACATAAAACTGTCTTATTTCCTCTTAGTGTGATTGTGATTCGGAGCAACGAGAAATTGGTTAAACATACATCTGTATGTTATGTAGTATAATTTTTCATGCGGAAGATAATGAACATTGGCTTTAGCAGCTTATAATAGAGATAAAATTAGGAACATAGAACCATTATTTTTCTAATTACATTATGTCGGACCTTGTAGTAGTGCTGTGATGTTATAAAGTTAATTCTTCAAAAAAAGTTTACTAGATAATGGATGAAGTATCTTGAGAAATAGCTGTAAAAGCCCTTTAATCATGTTATGTAATTAGACAATGTTTTGAAATTTCATCAGAACAATTTCATTAATACCAAGGATATGTGAAGATATTAGAGGGACTGTTATCAAGCAATAATGATGCTTGCATATTGACACTCTGCCCGCCAAACACGGAGATCTCTGTGTTTGGTAACGCAACGCTTGACCGCCAAACATGGAGATCTCCGTGTTTCAGGTATTTTAACGGAATCTGATAGATGGGGTAATTATTGACATGTACAAACAATTTGAACACTATATTCAATCTGGACCGTAAGTATTTCACTATTTGTTTGTTTACATAGCGTAGAGCGGTTATGATTTACTTTCACAAAATTGTGATTATTTCAGCTTCGTTATGCAAAATTGCGTATTTTACTGTTACGGGTCACAGATTGTGATTATAATAAAGTGTTTGGTACCACTGTAAAGCTGAAATGTTTGTAGTTCTTGTAGTATTTACTATTCGCAATTTAATCAAATACGCACTCTCAACGAGCTTCGGAAAAGTGTTAAAATTTGCTAAAAAGTGTGGCGGTGGCTGATGCTATTTTTCCAATCTTTGGTGGTCAGTGTTACAGAGACTGCATTTGGTACAACAGATATCCATTCATATAAAGGGGAATGTCATCTGATACTACAGATATAATATATATCCATATATTTAAAGGGCTTGCTATGTGATACTACAGGTATCCCGACATTTAAAGGGAATATCAAGCGACGTTTAAAGTAGCTCCAGATATTTAAAAGGAATATTATATTGAATACAATTACAGATTTAAAAGGTACAGTCACTACCAACTTGCTGTAATGTTTGGTTGTTAATTTTGAGTAGTTTTTAGGTAATTATGTGATAAATATATGATTTCAAGGATCATCTAAAAAAGGTGTGAAACATTCCACCTTACTTGTTTTTGTCTCAGTAAATGTTATTAAAACTGAATTTAGCAAGTAAAGTGACCAGCTATATTTAGTATACCACATCAAGTTTGATTTATTAGCAATAAATTGACATTCCATTTTTACTGAAACTCTCAATTATTTATTTATCCAATTATATAGTTTCTCTCTTGCTCTCATCCATGCCTGACTTCAGTCATTCACTCATTCATTTCTATGGCTCTTGTCTTGTCCTCTTTAATTATTCATCAATGTATTGACGATTTTTGGCTTTCATCTCTTGACAATCAGTGGTTCACAACTTCTTAAAATACCAAGTGGATGGTTGCACTACTAAAGTGAATAAATGTGATTATTATTGTTATAAATTATTATCTTATCAACTGTAATTGAACTGTACTGAACCCCTTTTAAATATTTGCCACACATAACATTTGTTTAATTTATTTCAACAATATTTTGATTATAAAAAAAAAGAGACTATTAATTATCGAAAC